TATGTTATATTGAATAGATTGTTTGGATTACTTGTGATATGATAATACTGTCCTTGTGCGTGTGTGGAATTGGAGAAGTGGGTCACCATAGAATTGTGAGAGCGGTTTCAAATACCATCGGCCACGTAAGGGAGATGGCGCCCCCATCTACATCTGATGAAATATGATATGAATGATATGGAAAAAATACAGAGTTGCCTCCTGTTAATAATGAAAGAAAAGAGGAAATGAAAAATAATGTAATGACTAGTCAATTGAGGATTGGACCAGTTGGCCATGTAAGGGGATCGACTCTTTGGTGCACATGTATGAGAGAATAGGTCATGTGTGAGGACGACTTATTGGGAGTTTCGGTGAAGCCACTGACTAATCTCTGCTTAATATGATTATGCGAAGGTGATATCTTTGAAGATGCTGATGCCGTGACACATGCTTGATTAATTGTGTGTTCATTATATAAATTTGGAAAGCATTTTGTGATTGTTTGAGTTATGCATTATTTATTATTATTCACTGAGTTTGTGAAACTCACCACTTTCCTTTAAATTTTTCCCAGGAGGTAGACATTTTGCTGATCCAGATAAGCTCTGCATCCTTCTTTGTAGAGTTACAATAGTAATTTCCGGTTTTGATAATGTTTAAATATACAGTATTGTGCATAGGTATGCATCCACGTACATTTATTGGGCTTCGCTGTTAGTTTGTTTTACATTTTATTATGTTAAAATTAATAGTGTTCTGGTCAATAAACCTGTGGATTAATTTCTATTGTCTCTCTAAAAGTATGACTGGACCTGTATGCCCATATTATGAATGACGTGAATTGTAAAAAAAAAAAAAAAATACACAGGGCTGAGCTATGAATTATTTGAAATACTGAAGCTCGACGAGAGATATAAATTGATAGAATAACTTAATAGCGTCGAAATATGGCCTTATTTTTCCATGTCCTTAGTGACAACATCCCACAGTGGAGCATTTCAGAACAAAGTCGCCAAATGGTGCAGTCAGCCGTAGAAGCCACAAACAACCACCATGGCGCATTTCCTCCATCCTTTATGTCCTCAGTGACAACCTCCTACAGTGGAGCATTTTAGAATAAAGCCGCCAACTGGCACAGTCAGCCGCAGAAGACGTCAACCACCATGACATAATTCGCCCGCCTAACACTGCCAAAATGGCAACCTACATCAACAAAGTCGCCAAATTGGCGCATTTCATTCATCCAAGTAGGTCAAAGAACGCAAATCCCGTCCAAAGGACAATTGCCTTATCTCAACTAGACTCGGCATTTCATTAGCTACCAGGTAAGTATTTTCTTACTTATGCGTCTACTTTACACTTTGATGACATTTTGCTTAAAAAACAAAATATCATCAAAGTAGCAAAATGTCATCAAAGTGGGGGCCAACTGTAGACGCTCAAATTTTGCCCCTAAAGGCAGCTTAGTGATGATAAATCGTTTTTTACATAAATTTGAATCGGGATTCTCGATCGTCCCAATTTTCGGACTAATGGTCCATAGTTGAGATAATACTCGTTTTTAACCATTTTTACTTTTCGGGTCACCGGGCGCTACAAAACTAGACCCCAAAAGCGCATGGGGCCAACCCGGTGCATTTCTCGATTCATTGTCTCGTTTTGCATGTCACCTGGTTTGATTTTATAAAAGTGGGCTCGACCCTATTTTTAAGGCCCACCAGTGGCATTTTTGCCACGTAAGCCCTAAAATAGGGCTACACACTCCCATTTGCCTATAAATAGGGCATTGGGAATTGTGTAGGGGACGATTTTGGAAACTTTAAGGAAATTATTGCATTTTCAAAACTCAACTCAAAATCAAAGCTAAACTTGTTTTTCTCTTTGGTTTAATTTGTGATTCATCCATTTCTAATCATAAAAATGCCTTAATCTCAAACTCGGATTGTTGGATCCAGCTTTTGGGTTTCTTCATCCGTTCTTACATAAACTTTGAGGAAATCTTCAAAAAGGTAGTTATGAGAGCCTTTACTATGTTTCTCCATCTCTTTTTCATTTTCTTTTGGTGTTAAAACACCAATTTTTAGCTTGGTTATGAGGAAAACCTGGGATCAACCAAAAGGGGCTTTTTGTGCTAAGGTGGCATGCTGATAGCCATAGTGGCGCAAGCCACTACGTGTGGTATGCACCACTTCACCACAGACTTGCCCCTGTTGCTCTCTTTGATCTTTTTGACCTTCCTGATCAGAGAAGAGCCTAGCACCATCACGTGTGGCGCACGCCACTTTGCCCGTGGCACTAAGCACTTCATTCAGAGGTCTAGAACGTTAGTAATCAAAAAAACTGTCCCGACTTGGATATCCAGTGGCAAAGCTCCAATGTTAATTTGTCTGGGATGCGTTTTTGTCCATAAATGGATTTAATAAACATCAATAAACAAGATTTTGAGTAGTGATGAATATATTTGTTCATCATTCATGATGAACATCAAGATCTTGAACTCTAATATTGCTCTAATCTTTAAATTATTGTCCTTAAATTAATGGTCTTTACTTTCAAGCACTTTTAATATTCTGTCTTTTAAATTTATGCCTTTTTATTCATTATATTATGATTATTGTTGCACTAACCCTTTATTCATTAACTTGTGAACATGCATCATTTAATCATTTGATGGATGAATGAATTTTTTATGATTATGAGTATGGGATTGTGATTTTGTGAATGTATTTTATGTTTGTGTTTATGTTGAATCGATGTTTCTTTATTGCTTTGTTTTTATTTTGTTAATATTGGCCAAATGTAAAGGGTCCTAATTCGATTCCTATTATTGCTTGCTTGTAATATTGAATGGCTTGAGAAATTTGGAGGATTAAAGGGTAAATTGTACAATTAGGTATTAATTTGTAATCTTTTCTCCCTCCCCCCCCCCCCCCCCCTTTGAGAAATTGGAGGATTAAAGGGTTAAATTGTACAATTATGTAATTAATTTGTAATCTTTTTCTCCCTCCCCCCCCCCCCCGCGCCTTTGAATTGATCCCCCCCCCCCCGCGCCTTTGAATGATTTATTTCATGTTGCATGGATGAGATTGTATACTTAATTGACATGTTTGTTGAAAATTGCATTAAAAACATTTTACATCTTCATTTTAGTGAATTGTATTATCAAGTTATTGTGAATTAATGGGCAACGAGGAGGCCGATTTATACCGGGCGATATAGGTGCCTAACACCTTTCCATATTGTACCTAACTCTCGAACCTTTTCTCTAGTTTAAAGCCGAATTAGTCGTTTTCAAAAAATCGACTAATTTGAGAATTTTTCCTAAAGAGGGTGGTGACTTCTAAAAGTAAAACTCTTACCAATGTAAGAGATTTACAAATCCCTTTTTCATAAGGATTGCCATTTCTGAAAATTAATAAAACGGTTTTAATAAGAGAAAACCGCTTTAAATAAATAAAATCAACCATGCCCATTCTAGTTCAATTTTTCATCTTTAGCGAAAACTATCCTTATGTATACCAAATTGTACAAAAAGACTTATAGCCTCAGCCCTGTTTACATTGGGAGAAATATACATGCAAGACTTGGACAGATTCACTCTTTGAACTGAAGCAAGGGCAAACTGATTCAAAATATCGATAATGACAGTTGTTCACTATTAGCTTCCGCAAATAAAATCATGTCATCGGCAAACCGTAAATGGAAGATATCTGGACCACAGTGAGATAATGCAATAGGCTTCCAACTTCCATTATCAATCACCTCCCGAATGAGGTGACAAAGGCATTCAATACATAGTATAAATAAGTAAGGAGGGATAGAATCTCCTTGCCGAAGCTCCACAAAGGTGTGAAAGCTTCCAACCTCTTACCATTCCATAAAACCAACATAGAAGAGGATTGAACGCATCTCATAATATTACTAATCCATTGTTCAGGCAAACCAATATCCCTTAAAACCCACTGAATAAAATCCTAATTCAGTCTATCCTATGCTTTCTCAAGATCAATCTTCAAAGCCATGAAATGATTATTACCTTGTGCTTGCTTCATTGTGTGAACAATCTCCTAGAACACCATGATATTATCTGTTATATGCCACCTCAGGACAAAAATACACTATTCAGGCCTTATAAATGAAGGAAGAATAACCTTAAGTCGATTGACCATACTCGTAGTGATTAGCTTATACAACACATTACATAAGCTAATTGGTCGCAGTTGAGACAACTTGTCAGGTGAAGCAATTTTCGTAATAAGGTATCGTTAACCATGTCAGGATTAGGAGAAGCCAACAAGGTATCAAGAACAAACTTACTAACATCTAATAGCCAAGCCTAAGCCCATCTGTATACTCTATTAGCAGATGAACTCTGTTAGGAAAGAATATTTGTAAATATTATTGTATCCCTATTATAGTGGGATTTGATTTTCAAATTAGGCTTAGCAATCTGTATAAACTGGAAGTGAGAAGGATGGCTAGGGCATGCACTTTAAATAGATAGAGATGCGCGGTAACCGAAAAGGCACTCTTTAAAATCACAGATGTGGAACGTGGCACGATTGTGCTACTTAACACGGTCAGGGCATGCTAACCTCTGACCTGCAAGATTGATTTACACCTTTTTGGAGCACGGGAGTGCTACTTAGCACAGTCAGGGTGTGCTAGCCTCTGACCTGTAAGAGCCAATTCTGTCTTACCTGGCACAGGCGTGCTTGTAAGCACGGCAAGGGCGTGCTAGGGTTTGACCTGCAAGACCGATCTACACTTTTGAAGCACGGGCATGCTGATTAGCATAGTCAGGGTGTGCTAAACCCTGTCGCCTCAACTTGTACCTGAAATAACTTTACTAAACATAGAAGAACAAGCATGATTTTAAAAATTTTGGGAATAATGATAAAAAAATAACAAAAATAAACCAAAATAAGAAAGTTAAGGAAAAGAATATGGGTTGTCTCCTACAAGCGCTTTTGTTTAATGTCGTTAAGCTCGACGCACTGGCCCCCATTTAGGCAAAATTAAGCAAAGCTTATAACGGTTTTGACTAGATTGAAATCTCCACTTTGGTAAACTTTTAACCGTTGAGCATTAACCTTGAAACTCCAATTTCTATCTACTATTTCAACTGCTCCATGTGGAAAGATTTCCTTGATCGTGAATGGTCCATACCACCTAGATCTCAATTTACCTGGAAAAGGGAGTCTAGAGTTATAGAGTAATACCTGTTGGCCTACCTTTAGATCCCTCAGAATAATATACTTATAATGCCATTGTTTGGTGCGGTCTTTATAGATTTTGGCATTCTCATAAGCATGGAACCTCATTTCATCCATCATATTCAATTGAAGCAACCTTTTTTGACCAGCCTCTTTAGCATTAAAGTTAAGAAACTGGATTGCCCAATATGCCTTGTGTTCTAACTCAACAGGAAGGTGACAAGCCTTACCATAGACCATTCGATATGTGACAAGCTTACCATATACCATTTCGATATGAAGACATACCAATTTGGTGTTTTGAATGCAGTTCTATAGGCCCAAAAGAGGCATCATCGAAGGTTTTGAACTAGTTCCTTCCCTTGATTGGCCAACTGTGGTCTCCAATATTCTCTCCAATATCTTCTTGATTTCCCTATTTGTGACTTCCACTTGTCCACTTGTTTGAGGTTGATATGGGGTACCTACATGATGAGTGACACCATATTTCGAAAGAAGGGAATCCTAGTACTTGTTGCAAAAATGCTTACCTTTGTCTGTGATTATTTCTCTAGGAGTACCATGACGGGTGAAAATATATTTCTTGATGAAGTTCATCACACTTTTGGCATCATTACTGGGAAGGGCAACAACTTCCGCCCATTTCGAGACATAATCTACCGCTACTAGAATTTATTGATTGGACTAAGAAGAAGGGAATGGTCCCATGACATCCAAGCCCCAAACATCAAAGATGTCCACTTCAAGGATATTGTTTAATGGCATCATTGTTTAATGGCATCTCATGTCGCTTGGAGATATTACCTAACCTTTGACAAAGATCATAAAGACAAACAAAGTTAAAAGCATCTTTAAATAAGTTATGCCAATACAAACCGCTTTCTAAAATATGTGCTGCCGTCTTGCTTGCTCCAAAGTGTCCTCCACATTCCATTGAATGACAGAATCGAATAACACTTTCCATTTCCTCTTCTAGTACACATCGTCGAAAAAGCTGGTCACTATACTTGAACAAGAAAGGCTCCTCCCAATAGTAATATTGAAGACCATGAAAAAATTTTTTCTTTTGTTGATAAGAAAGATTGGGAGGAGTAATTTTACAAGCAAAGGTAGTTAACTATGTTGGCATACCATGGAGTTCGTGCATTTGCTAGAAGAAGAAGATGTTCATAGGGGAAGTCTTCATTGATTTGCAATTCTGTCTGCTCTTCTTCCCCCAATTCAAGCTTGGATAAGTGATCGGCTACAAGGTTTTCAGCTCCTTTTTTATCACAAATCTCCAAATCAAACTCCCAACTGCTATCAAAAATTGGATAGATAATGTCAGCATCCAAAAGCTTTATGATCTCAGCCTTGACTACTTCTTTCATGTTTGGGTTCAATCTTCTTTGATGCTTAATTTGCTTAATTGAAGGTTTGCAATCTTCCTCCCATCAAGAATCCTATGCATTCCACACACTTAGGACTTATTCCCTGCCCAAATCTGTAAATTGACCATCCTAGGAGACTTTCTTTATGTTTTCGTATAGGACCTGCAACACCTTTTCCTCTTGATCAAGTGTTAAGCGAGAAAGAAATAATAACCAGAAAAAGAATTATTCTCACCCAAACGCATGTTTATAAATGAGATGGAAGTTGTTTAAATTCTTGCTCTGGTGTTTCACTTTCTTTCTCATCTAATGATTTTGCTATTGATATTATGTCACTTTAGCTTTAATATTTGAAAGTGTCCTTTACACATTCATCCAACAACATCAATCCTAAAAATCCTAAAACAGTCATTATAATCCATAGGAAGTTTACAAGATTTAAGAACATAAAAAACAACCTCCTCTTGACCTACCCTCAAGGTTAATTTACCTTCATACATATCAATCAATGCTATTGTAGTTGTAAGAAAGGGTCTTCCAAGGATTAAGGATCCTTCTCTATCTTCATCAATGTCAAGAATAACAAAATCAATAGGAAAGAAAAATTTACCTAACTTGACAAGCACATCTTCTATAATCCCTCTTAGGTATTTGATTGATCGATCTGCCAACTGTAGAGACATCCTTGTTGGTTTCAGCTCTCCCATCGCTAGCATCTTAAAAACTTCATAAGACATAAGATTAATGCTAGCACCTCAATCTGCTAAAGCTTTTTCAAAATCAAGATTTCCAATATTATAAGGGATAGAAAAACTTCTTAGAAAACTTCCTGGAGCCTTTAATTTTGGAGGCAATTTATTTGAATGATTGCCCACTACACTCCTCTGTTAACATTACCATTCCATTTCATCATCCAATTCTTCTTTTCTTACTCAAGATCTCCTTTAGGAACTTTGCAGTAGCTGGGCATTTGTGCCAAGGGCTTCAGCAAAAGGGATCTTCAGCAAAAGGGATGTTGATTTGAAGCTTTTTGAAAACATCAAGAAACTTGAGGAAACTCTTACCGTCTTGTGTTTTCTTTAACCTTTGTGGAAAAGGAACAAGTGGAAAATAGGGTTTTACTTCCTCTTTCTCTTCTAGGTCAATGAGGGGGATCTTTTTTTGCTCTTCCTTCTCTTTCTCCATCCTGGGTGGATCCTCCAACTGTTTGCCACTCCTCAAGGCGATAGCTTGTACCTGTTCTTTAGGATTTTTTTCAATATTGCTAGGTAACGTACCTTGGGGTCGGGAGGCCATCATGTTTGTAAACTACCCTAATTCAATCTCTAGGTTCCTTATCGCAACTTGTTGGATTTTGATATTTTCTTGAGTTTCGTTCATGAGTCCATGTGAGATTTAGAGAGGGCAGTAAGAAGATCATCGTAAGACTTTTTTTCTTAGGGCAGAAAACTTGGTGGTGCGTTCAAGGCATTGTTTGGATTCCCATAAGAAAGATTAGGATGATTTCTCAACCGTTATCAAAAGAGTTAGAATACGGGTAGTTCTTCCTTCCTTGATTCATCACATAGTTTACTTGCTCCAAATTTTACGGATTTAAAGAATCTAACATGCATTCTCCAATCCCATGTTGCCCATTACATCTGTCACAAGCTTGCATAATAGAATTAACCGAGTTAGTAGTTAATAAGTCCAACTTTCTTACCATATTGTCTATCTTACTATGTCTACCTTGGGCCATTAAGTGCAGTAAATGGCATTGAATCTCATAAACTCCTGCAGTCTTCCTATCCTTTTGGAGTTGCTTTTGATAATGGCTATTGCTTGGCATCTCTTTTCAGCAAAGTCATTAATGGCTCATCAATTTCTTTTCTTTCAAAAAGATCCACCTGCAGCTGCATCTAGAGTAACTCTTTATGGTAGGAGATAATACATTAATAAAAAGTTGTACCTGTAACCACTTGGACATAAGGCTATGATGTGGGCACTTCCCTTAGTAGTCTTGGAAATCTCTTCCAGCTTTCATACTGGACTCTCTTGATCATGGTGGGTTAAAGGTCAACTAATCTCATTGGGCAGTTTTGTGGTTTTTGAAGATGGAAGTTTTGTGGTTTTTGAAGATGGAAAGAATTTTGCTAAAAATTTTTGGGCTAATTCCTCCCATGTTGTAAAACTTCCAGTAGGGCATGATTGTAACGAGGATTGTGCTTTATCCTTTAGAGTGAAAGGAAAGAGTCTTAATTTTATGGCATCCTCAGAAAGTTCATTTTGTTTGAAAGTGTCGCAAATCTATAAGAAATTTGTGACATGGGCATTAGGATCTTCACTAGGTAAACCTCCATATTGAATTAAGGTGCAAAGCATTTGGATAAGTGTAGGTTTTATTTCAAAATTATTAGCTTCCACCCTAGGTCTAGCAATACTCAAGGTTGTTCCATTGAGAGAAGGAGTTATGTAATCTCGTAAGGTGCGGATATGAGGTTGAGATCCATCCTATGGGCTTACTTTATCAGCCATATTTGTTTGTTGTTCTAGTTTGTTCTCACGTGCTCTCCTAGCAGCATTATTCCTATGACAACTCTTTTCGATTTCTAGATCAAAGATCAAGAGCTCAGTTCTACCTGATTTTATTTGCATAAACACATGAAATAATCTTCTAAAAAAATTAAATAAAATAAAAATAAAATTGAATGTCTAAATTAATAATAGGGTAATAAGTATTGATATTGGTAATGCCAATCCCCGGCAACAGTGCCAAAACTTGATAGTGATTTTCGTAAGTACACGAAATCACAACAAGTAATATAGAATGAGTAGAGTATTGTTCCCATGAGGATTATATATCAAGTACCAAAATTATGTTAACCTACTATTATTTAAACAACAATAACCTACTATTATTTAACAATCAACAAATACAGGGGTAATTATTTTTAAAAAAATATCTTCAACACAATACAAAGAGAATAGAAAAGAAACACAAGCAAGAACAATTTTTGATAAGAAAGAAATCCAAGGACTTAAAAAACTACTACTAGGGATTTTGATTTCACTTAATTCTATCCAATTTATTTTATCAGTTTGATAATCAATTTTAATTGTTCAAGTAAGGGAAACAACCTTAAAATTACTAACAAGCTCTCCCGATATATTGCTAGCTATTTTAACCTGGTCTAATTACTTATCTTCTAATAGCACAATCAAACATGAATTAAATCATTAAGTTTTATGGTATGTTTATGAATTCATAACCTAAGGTCGTTAACTCATGAAAACCCCCCCAGGAGTCAAAACATATAGCTTCTGCATCAAGTTATTATTCTCATGTAATTCATTACCTTTTTCATATCAAAAACCCTTCTTCCGATAGTGATTAATGAAATAAATCAATCACTAAATCAAATCAGGAAATCAATCCAGGGGAGAAACTCTGCCTGGAAGCATTAAGTTCAATAATAAATTATACTTTGAACAAAGAAAAGCAAATCTAATATTATAAATTTGAAAATAAATTAAGCTAAATAAAATTTCTAGTATGAGAGTTTAGTTTGACATACTAATTAAATAAAACTCAATTAAACTTGAAAATAATTCCATAATCAATATGAATGATGAAAAGCAAAAACAAGATTAAGAGTTTAGAGATAAAAACTAGTCAACAAATAATTCTAGACAGCTTCCTTGAATCTTGACACAAATCTTAAACACTTGAAGTCTTGAAGAAAGAGAGAAAACAATAGAACAAAAGATAGAAGAACCAGAGATATCTTTACAATCAATTGGTTCTCTCTTTATATAGACTTCCTAGGAGAGACTTCCTAGGAGAAAATTGCCGACTTCGTTTAGGAAAATAAAGTCTTTCATTAAAAGTAAGAAACCATTTTGGAAATAGGAAATTGTTTA